AGCACTGTCTGTCGTCGGGCTGCGCGCCCAGAGGGCTGCCCCCGGCATCCCCGACAGCGTCCCTGTCCTCAGTCCTGCCCGTCCTTTCTGGCCTTTCTCCGGCCCCCTTCCAGTTTCAGGGCATCTGGATAAATGGTTAGCATCGTTGCGGCCCAGTCCGTGCAGCCCTCCTGGAGGCTGTGACCTGGGGGTCCGCTGGGGGCCTGGGTTTGCAGGAGACAGGAAGGGGCCAAAGGGGCAGAAGCTTGCAGGGGCTTCACCTGCAGGAGGAGTTGGGTCTTTCACAGCTGCCTGGCCACCCTCGGAGCCTGAGAGGCCAGCACCCCTTCCCCTCATGGTGCTGGCTGGACCCTCCACGCTCCGTGCCTCCTCCTTGTGTGTCATGGGACCATAGTCACCCCAACCTTGCGGCGTATTTTGAGCTTCTGAGGAGCTCAGCACACACAGCCCCTGTGAGAGCACTGGCGCTGGCTGCTGGACCCGGCTGTGTCTCTGGCATCGTCCCCATCCTCTGAGACCTCTCTGGCTCTGCCTAGCAAGAGGGGCAGGGCCGGGAAGAAGGGGGTGTGGGGCCTTCGGGAGCTGGGCCCGGGTGCTGAGGCGGAAACCAGGCCGGGCTCAGCATGCCAAGCTCCTGGTGGAGGCACTGGCGTCCGTGCATGTCAGCGGCGCAGAGAAGGTTCCAGGCTCCGTCTCCCGAACCTGTCTGGAAGAGCCCAGCTGCTCCTACGGACCTGCGACCTGCCGCCCGGGGCTGGAGGTCTGGGCCTCTTTGCATCGGCTCAGGGGAGGCCGTCCGCGGCTGGGTGAGGGTCAGCGGCCATTTGGATGCCCCAGCAGCCGTGGGGCTCTCGCCTCTGCCAGAGCAGGCAGCGTGCGAACTGGCAAGGGCTTTGGGGAGCAGCAGGAGGCCTGAGGGTGCCGAGTGCTCCGGAAATGTTGCTGGTTCTTCAGGGGCAGGCCTGGCCCACTGGGCAGAGCAGAACATGGCTTCCGCTCCGAGGTGGGGTGGGGGCGCCGGGATGGCAGACACAAGGCCGCATGAAGTGGGATCAGGTGGACCCTGGGGTTTGGGCTTGGAGGCCTGCAGGGCAGTGGTCCCCCGGCTCTTGCTGCCCTGTGGTTCAGTTCCTCCCGCTGCTGCGCCTTGTGCCCTGTGGGTTGGCCGGTCTTGTGAGAGGCCTCATCTGAGACAGGAAGCCCCACGCAGGCTTCTGGAAGGCTCTGTCCTGGCTCTCGGCCACCCTATTGGCTGAGACCGACCCCAGCGGCTTCCTGAGGCTTGGCGAGGCCCCCAGGGTCACCTGCTGGTCACACACCTGGGGGACCCCACCAAGGCTGAGACCCAGGTTGGGGCCCCCCGCACTCTGCTGAGGTTTGGGCCTCATTCCCCGCTGGCCCGCCCTCCCCTCAGGAGCTTTCCAGGTGGGGACGTTCGTAGGGACAGTGGTACGACATCCAGTTGTCTCCTCCCTGAAACCTTCAACCTGAACCTCACTCAGCACAGGGAACTGGGGGCCAGACCGTGGTGGATGGAGGTGTCGTGCTGACACAGCCCCTGCTGGGACGTGGGGAGTGGCTGAGGCACAGCTCCAGCCCCAGCATGATGGTGCGTGTGGGAAAACTGCCCGGGTACTTGGGGACAGCAGGGACATTTCCAGCGTGGGTGTGTGAGTGCCACCTCCCCCATATGGTGGGCGTTGGTGTGATGCTGGCAGCTGGGACCAGGGTCCTCTTCTCAGCAGATGCTGCTGTGTTTCTGGGGGGCAGTCTGTGGTTTTCTTTTGTGTGCATGTGTGTGCTTGGGTGTGTGTGCGTATCCTTGTGTGTGCACGTGTGCTTGGGTGTGTGCATGTCCTTGCATGTGCATGTATGCTTGGGTGTGTGTGCACACATCTGCGTGTGTGCGCGTGTCCTTGCGTGTGCACGTGTGCTTGGGTGTGTGCATGTCCTTGCGTGTGCACGTGTGCTTGGGGGTGTGTTCTTGCGTGTGCACGTGTGCTTGGGGGTGTGTGTGTGTCCTTGCGTGTGCCCGTATGCTTCGGTGTGTGCGCACACGTGTCTGCGTTTGTGTGCGTGTACTTGCATGTGCACGTGTGCTTGGGTGTGTGTGTCTGCGTGTCTTTGTGCACGTGTGTGCTTGGGTGTGGGTGCTCACACGTGTCTGCATGTGTGTGTGTGCATGTCCTTACGTGTGCACGTCTGTGGGTGTGTGCACACATGTCTGCCTGTGTGTGCGTGTCCTTGCGTGTGCACATGTGCTTGGGTGCATGCAGGTGTGTGTATGTACATGTCTGTGTGTGCACGTGTGTGTGTTCGCCTTTGCCCCAGAGCGGAAGGAAAGAGAATGCAGCCGGACGATCATATCTGCGTGAGGGGTGTTCACTTTGTGTCTGACAATCTTTCTGTGGAATGAAATATTTCAAAATAAGAAATTGAGGGGAAAGAGAAAGGAGGGTGCTTGTCTCTCTCCTCGCCTCCTGCTCTTCCTCCCTGTGTTGGAGGCTCCAGGACGCCTCACCCCGGGTTGACGTCATTTTTGGCCTGCAGAGGCAACCCCTTTCTTTTCTCCGGGCACCAGCGAGGAGGCTGGGCTCCGGCCGACGGGAGCCCCCGCAGGAGCCAGGGCTTGACTCCCCTGCAGGGCTGTCGCTGTCGCTTTTTTCCCTCACGATGTCTCATCCACAAACCTCTGTCCTCCGTCCAAAGACATCTCGGTGAATCCACCTGGCGCGGAAGCAGCGCTGATGCCGCAAATTCGGGCCAGGCTGCCGGGCAGAGCTCGCCAGTCAGCAGGGCCGGGTATGGCCGGGGCAACCCCGAGACCCCACGCCCCGCCACTGCGGCTCCCGCTCCCTGGTGCCTCTCGCTCCCTGGCGCCTCTTCTCTGTGGACGGAGAGCCTCTCTCCGGGGGAAGGCTCGGGGCTAAGCTGATGGGTGTTTGAAGTTTCTCCACACACGGGGTCCCCTGGCATCTCCCTCTGTCTTTGGCGCCAAGTGCCATTTCCCAGCAGCCCTGCTGCAGACGCCGTCTGTTCTCGGGGGAGAGTTAGGTGGCCTGGGCCCTTGTGGTAGCCGCTCATCCAGCCTGACCCCAGGCTGCAGTGAGGCTGCTTCCGATCGGGGCTTCTCTGCCCAGGTGAAGGGCGGGCGTGGGAGGTTTCCGTAGAGGCCGCTCTCCCCTGCTGCCCGAGCCCCGTGTGGGGCCCTGCGTCCGTCTGACAGACGGAAGCTTCCGGAGCCGGGCCCTTGGGATGATGAGTAGGAAACTAGGGAGGATCCACAGGAATTAGAGATTTCATCAGTTTTGTTTTCCAAGTGAAATTCAACAGCCCCCTAGCAGCGTGACGCTGATGGCCCTGTCCCCTATGGCCCCCATCCTGGAGGCACCCTGGTGTGGGCTGTGGGCCTGGGAATCCGGCGCTGTCCAGTATGCAGACGTGCCAGCAGCCCACGTTTCCCCCGGTGACTGCCAGGCTGTGCCCTGGATATGGCCGTCTGAGCACGTCGTGTCCTGGGGACAGGGCCCCGTCTGGTCGTCAGGCTCAGTGCGTGCCCATGGGGGTGCTCTGCCCGCTCGGGGAGACAGCGCGGCTTCCGGGGGGCTCCTCCAGGGAGGCTCTGGACCAGGCTGCAGAGGATGCTGACCTGCCACAGGCTGGCCTGGCCGCTCATGGACACGGTGGCTCCTGGCCCAGGGTGCACCGCGTCCTGCCCTCCTCTCCCCTGGGAACCCAGGCGTGCTCGCGGCCCTCTGGAATGCAGGCGCTGGGGCTGTGGGGGGCCGCCTGGCGCCTGGCATCTTGTTATAAAAAGCTGTGGCGCAGGCTGCTCTCAGTGGCTGCAGGATGGTTGTGGCTTTGGAAGGGCAACCCCCAGGGACCTTGGTCAGCCACCTGTGGCCCCACTGCTGGGCCATGGTCAGCCCTTGCTGGCTGCCCTGCGACGACACTGCCAAAGCCAGTGGGGCTTCTGCCAGACTCCCGTGACAAGTCATGACAGAGCCACGTGCTGGGTGGTTGCAGGGCCCTGTCGCCCACGGCAGTCAAGGTCTTATGTGTCTGTCTGGAGGGCAGCCCTGGAGACACCTGGGACAGGTGTACCTCTGGCAGGCGCACCCTGGCTGTCACCCAGTGTGGGCGTGGTGGGAGCGCTGGAATGCTGTGCAGGGCAGGAGGCAGCGGCCTGTGGCTGCGTGGGAGACTGCAGGGGAGACGGGACCAGACCAGGAGGGTTGTTCCCAGGGCCTGCCAAGCCATCCCCAGGTGTTGAGAGTTGGAGGTAGGGGTGGGAGCCCAGAGCCAGCTCCAGGCCACCCGCACTCCCGACGGCTCTTGGCTGTTCTGTGTGAGGGGGGACATGGCCGAGTGTGGTGTCCCACCCATTCCAACACTGGGCCGAATGCACCGAAATCACTGCCCAGGGCTCCGGGAGCTGCATGGCCCGGCTTTGTCCATTTCATTGCTGTTGATGCCAATTAGGGGTGACAGTGTCCCTCCCGCATCCCAGGGTGGACAGAGGGAAGGGCCGACTTGTTCCCTGGGGGCAGGCGTGCATGGAGTCAGCCTGGCCATGGAGCTGTGGCCAAAAGGGCAGTGGGGACAGCGGGGGCAGCTGGGCTGGGGTTTTTGCCGACGCTCTAATTTGGTGGCTGTCGCCACCCCTGCCCCCCACAGAGACCCTGACGTGGCCTGAGCCAGACTCCAGGGGCCATGCACCCTGATGGGTGGGGAGCAGGGGCTCAGCGTCAGGTCTGGTGCACTGACTGGGAGAAGGAGGGTCTCCAGCCCTGGACAGGCCCTGAGTGGGGTGGGGGCCCCCAGCTGCTGTGCCCAGCCCTGCCCCCAGGACCTGGCCCTGGCACTGTGCTGGCCGGGGCCAGGGAGAGAGTGGGCCCAGCTTCCAAGTCTGTGTGCCCACCTCGGCTGGGGGCGCCGACAGCCCGGGGTGTGGAGGGCCCCCCGTGACACCCGCCGTCAGCCGCGCCCTCTGCCTCTAGCCCGTGGACCTGGAGCCCGTGGACCGGGAGCCTGTCGTGTGCCACCCTGACCTGGAGGAGCGGCTGCAGGCCTGGCCAGTGGAGCTGCCTGATGAGTTCTTTGAGCTGACAGTGGATGACGTGAGAAGGCGCTTGGCCCAGCTCAAGAGTGAGCGGTGGGTGCTCCCTCAGTGCCTCCCAGCTTCTTCGAGTCAGGGTTTGCCCCGTCGGGTGCCTGTGCTGCCCGCCGTCCCCAGGTGCCAGCACTGGCTCGTGGCCCAGGTCCCTGACAGGCTGCCCTTAAGAGCACCTCAGAGGGTTGGGGCCTAGGGAGGGGTGTTCAGATCTTCCTGCCTTGTGCGGGGAGAGCAGCCCACTTCCACCCTGGCGGGTGCAGGTGAGGAGCCCGGGGCCAGTTGCCGTGGCCCCCATTCTGACCAGAAGCCCTGTTCCCTTCCCCTCCTCACCACAGGAAGCGCCTGGAAGAAGCACCCTTGGTGACCAAGGCCTTCAGGGAGGCGCAGATAAAGGAGAAGCTGGAGCGCTACCCAAAGGTCTGCAGACAGGACGTGGGGGCAGCAGAGGCACAGCTCTGAGGGGGCCCCCTGTCAGTTCTATGGACGGGACATGGGGGCAACTGAGGCACAGCTCTGAGCAGGACCCACCCCCCCGTTGTGGCATGCCTGCCTCTAGTGGCCAGTCGATCCTCCCCTGCTCATGATTTAGAATGAATTTTTTTTTTTTTTTTTTTTTGAGACGGAGTTTCTCTCTGTCACCCAGGCTGGAGTCAGTGGCACGATCTTAGCTTACTGCAAGCTCCGCCTCCTGGGTTCACGCTGTTCTCCCGCCTCAGCCTCCCGAGTAGCTGTAACTACAGGCGCCCGCCACTCACGCCCAGCTAATTTTGTTTTTGTATTTTTTAGTAGAGACAGGGTTTCACCGTGTTAGCCAGGATGGTCTCAATCTCCTGACCTCGTGATCCGCCCGCCTTGGCCTTCCAAAGTGCTGGGATTACAGGCGTGAGCCACAGTGTCCAGCCTAACTTTTTTTTTTTTTTGACATGGAGCTTTGCTGTCACCTAGGCTGGAGTGTGGTGGTGCGATCTCGCCTCACCGCAGCCTCCACCTCCTGGTTCAAGCAGTTCTCCTGCCTCAGCCTCCTGAGCAGCTGAGATTTCAGGTGTCCACTGCCAGTAGCTCGGCTAATTTTTGGATGTTTTTTAAGTAGAGATGGGGTTTCACTATGTTGGCCAGGCTGTTCTTGAACTCCTAACCTCAGGTGATCCGCCCGCCTCGACCTCCCAAAGTTCCGGGATTACAGGTGTGAGCCACCACGCCCGGCCGAATGAAACTTTTTTTTTTTGAGACGGAGTCTCACTCTGTCGCCCAGGCTGGAGTGCAGTGGCCAGATCTCAGCTCACTGCAAGCTCCGCCTCCCGGGTTCCCGCCATTCTCCTGCCTCAGCCTCCCGAGTAGCTGGGACTACAGGCGCCCGCCGCCTCGCCCGGCTAGTTTTTTGTATTTTTTAGTAGAGACGGGGTTTCACCGGGTTAGCCAGGATGGTCTCGATCTCCTGACCTCGTGATCCGCCCATCTCAGCCTCCCAAAGTGCTGGGATTACAGGCTTGAGCCACCGCGCCCAGCCCGAATGAAACTTTAAACAGCAAATTTGAACACAGGTCAATGTGGTTTTAGAACTCAGGCCACTGTGCGCATGCACGGTACTCGGCTGTCTCCGTGCCCGGCCTACCATGGGGGAGTCGAGGCCCGGGCCCTGATTGGGGGTGGCTGCTGCTTCTGCCTGCCCCAGCCCTGGTGTCCGTGGCCTGGCGTGGGCCGAGCGGGGAGGCCGTGCCTGGTCCCTGGTGCAGCTCCGGCCGTCCCTCCAACCCCTCCACTTGTCTGGCCTAGGTGGCTCTGAGGGTTCTGTTCCCCGACCGCTACGTCCTACAGGGCTTCTTCCGCCCCAGCGAGACAGGTGGGCAGCGCTGCCGGTGTCCGGGGAGGGGGGCGGGGGCCCACAGAGCCCCTCCTGGCTCCTTCCTTCCAGGCTACAGGACTGCAGCCACCTGGCCTGCGGGTCCCAGGGCACTGGGCAGGTGCAGGTGCTGAGGTCCCCTTGGGGGTGCAGAGGCGACCCAGTTTGCAGTGTCAGGCAGGCTGGGCACTCGCTCCAGATGAGCCTGTGGTCCTGAGTGCTCACATCACCCACCTACTGGGCACAGCTGGGGCAGAGGGGCACCCAGAGGAAGGCACCATACCCCGGGAGGAGGGCAGTGGAGCTGTGACATTCAGGGGCTTGTGACCTGTACCCCAGACAGCTGGGTGGCAGCAGCCCAAGGTTGCAGGGACCTCCCCCAGGGAAGCACTGAGGCTGGGGTGGAGGGGGGACTGGGAGGTACAGGCTGGCAGTGGGAGTGCCCTCCTGCAGCAGGGCGGGGCTCCCAAGTGTGGCCCACACGGGGGCCCAGCCACGTCGAGCACCTGGGGTGCTGTGGGAGGAACAGGGCTGAATTCCCACCCCTCGGGGAAAGGCCCAGGAGGGTGGGAGCAGTGGCCCAGTGCCGGGGGCGGCCCGGGGCTGGTGTGGAGGAAGAACTGTCTGTATGTTCTTTCTCCTCTGCAGTGGGGGACTTGCGAGACTTCGTGAGGAGCCACCTGGGGAACCCCGAGCTGTCGTTTTACCTGTGTAAGTTTTTTCTCCTAAGCCCACTCCTGCCTCCAGTGCTCGAGACCCTGGTGCTGTGGGCACACCGCCCGTCCCAGCTGGGGCTCTCGGCAGCTTCTCCATGGGAGCAGCATCTGTGGCCTCCCGCCCAGCTGCCTCCTGCAGCCTATGGTGTCTGTGTGGGGACCTAGCAGGGCCCTTCTCCCTGAGCCGGGCGGTGGGAGGGTGGGAGCCAGGCTTCCTGCCTTCTGTCTCAGCGCTCCGCTCCCCTCTGGAGCCCTGGGGCTCCCCCACCCCTGGGGCTCAGGCCACTCCAGCGAGAGGACTGTGGGAAGGGTCGGTGGACAGGAAGCGGCTGGCCTCCCTTGGAGCGTCTAGGTGGCAACGGGTTAGGCTGCCCCCCTCAAGCGGAGCTGGGCTGCATGGGTGGTGACCCCTGCAGTTGGGCCTGCCCCGCCCCAGCCCCTCCGAGCCCCCAGCTGGGGTTTCTGCAGCCGGAGTGTGGGCACAGGGTGTGATCATGAGGGGCTCTTCTGCCCCACGTGAGGTGTCACCCCCATCTTCGGGCCTGTCTTCTTTTGGGAGCGTGGATGGGGACCGCCGTGCTTCCTAACACATAGATGCCTTCTCTCCTCAGTCATCACCCCTCCAAAAACAGTCCTGGACGACCACACGCGGACCCTCTTTCAGGTACCCGAAGGCCTCCCTGGGGTGCTGCGGGGCGGGGCCCTCCAGGGAGGGCAGGACGCGAGGGTGAGGCCCGCAGTCAGGAAGGAGTGGCTTGGCAGGCGCTGGTGTGGGATAATAAAGCCTTTGAGAGCGGGTGGGTTCAGAGGGGGCCGTGCGCCTCTGAAGTTGTTTCTGACAGGTCTTTCCAGCCTCCTCTGCTTCCTGCCTGGCCCCGGGTGAGAAAGGGCCTGCTAGGCGGCCTGCCTGAACTGGGGCCGCTTGGAGGTCTCGGCCCCCCTGGGCTGCTGTGCTGGGGCCAAGGCAGCACCGGTGCCCGCCCAGGCGTCTGGGTGAGGAAGGGCCCGGCAGGCCTGGGAGCAGGGCTTGGGGAGCCCCAGAGGGACCAGGCCCTCAGCTGGAGACGGCCGCCTGGGGCTTCAGCTGCCAAGTCTGTGTTCCTGCCCCTTCCCCCTTCCCGGCCTCTCCCGCTGGCCCCGCTGGCCCCTGCTAGGAATGCCCTGGTACCCATAGCTGTCCGCTGCTTCTGTGGGTCCCTGCCACCTCCCTGAGAGCTCCTGAGGGTGGGGCCAGAGTGAGGGTGCCCGGTCCCCAGCCCTGCTGGGCCACCCTCCAGAGCCAGAAGCAATGAATGTCCTGTCCTTGGCCTGTGGGAGAGCCGCCTGGGGCCTTCCGAAGCCCTCTGGCCTAATGGTTTCCTCTTCAAAGCCTCTTCAGATATTTTAATTAGCAACAGAGGCGTTTTTTTTTTTTAAGTGGCCACAGGCCTCTGCAGAGGCCTGGGTTGGAGGTGAGAAGCTTGCTTGCTGCCTGGGGCTGCAGCCACTTGCTGAGATGGGGCAAGAAGGCTGGCAGCTGCCAGGGGTGATCAGGAGCAGGACTGAGCGGGATTCCCTGAGACGGAGGCAGGGGAGGGGTGAGACAGTCCCCTCTCAGCCCCTGAGCTGCCGGGCGGACTCTGGGCCTCCTTCCTCCGTCTCCACCCCCTCCCTTGCTGGCCAGCCAGTTGATAAACATTGAATTTGGAAGATGCCTTGGGGTGGAGGAGGACCAGTGCCCAGGCCTGCAGCCCACCCTCCCACTGGGAGGCCCCCTGAGAGCACTGGGGTGCTGCTGCGCTGTTCCTGGGGATACATGGCTTCCCCGCCAGCCACCATCTCCTGCCCTCCGTCAGCTCGGCTCTAGTCTGGGGGCCTCTCGGGGTGGCGTCCCTGGTGACATTCCTGCCTGCCTGCCGTCAGAGAGCTGGCGGGGCCGAGGGGGGGAAGCCTGCCTCCCTGACAGGCGAGCAGGCGGCGGGCGTGGAAGCACCGGCTTTCATGTCTGTCTCTGGCGGGGCCCTGCTCCGGCCCCTGCTTCTAAGAGGGACAGCGTGCGTGGGTGTGGGGGCTCGGGTAGCCCGGCAGCCCTCTGTGGCCCTGGCCCGGGAGAGCGCAGGTTTTCTGGGAGGGCTGGGAGGAGGCGGCCAGGATTGAGGACAGGGAAGTGTGAGCAGCGTGGGGGCTCCACTGTGGGGAACAAAGCCCCGACCGCTGCCTGAAACCTGCTTCCTGGCCCTGGGCATCAGGGCTGGCACGGTCACCTTTGTGTGCAGTCCGCATCCTCATGTCATAAGGAAGGTCATCCTGGACTAGGCCCACCTTTGATGTCACGGTCACCTCACTTATCTCTTCAAAGTCTCTGCTGTTTGGGCTTCCTTCCGTTGGCTTTGGTGGGGCAAGCCTGGCTCCTAACACCCTCTGTTTGTTGGAGCTCTCAGGCTGCCTCGGGGGACCCTCTGCCAGGACACTGGCCACCCACTTGGGAAGGAGTGACTGGCACTTCCGGCCTGAGTGCCTGCTGGGCGCCCAGCCCTAGCCAGGTCTGTCCTTCCTTTCCACCCAGGACAGCCCCGTCCTGTACTGCTGTGTTGCCCACTGCCAGGGCCTCTTGGGAACGACAGGCCCCCTTCCTCCCACCCACCAGGCCCTACCCCACCTGGACCCTCTGAAATGTTCCTCGTTGACAAATGGTCTTGCAGAAGGTGGGATGGCTCCTGCAGTCCCCGCTCCCGCTCTGTGGGTGGATGCCCCGTCTCTCCCTGCCCGGGCACCGTGGTGCCTTCTCCCTCCCGGGCACCATGGTGCCACCTCCCTCCCGGGCATCTTGGGCTGTAAGGGCTCCTCTCTTGGCTTCGTTTCCCCGAGGGTGGTGCCGTTCTCTTTGGAGGGGGCGACCGGGGCGCTGGGCCACGTGTGCATGCAGCCCCTGCAGAGTTGCTGCCCCATGGGGGTTGGCGTGGGCCTCCTTTCGGAAACTCTTCCTGGCAACACTGAGTGGGGTAAGGGGCTAGCAGCAGAGAGGTGGCCGGATTTGGGACCCCAGTGTCCTGGGCAGCAGCGAGGGAGGAGCCGGCCCCAGGCCCTCAGGCTGTGTCAGGGCAGGGCGGGTGCCCCCACTTCTCCCTGTCAGCCGAGGGAGCCAGGCGGGCAGCCTGAGACCTCCTGGGGCAGTGCTGGTGGGGAAAGGCCTCTCAGCCTGAGCCTCCCTCAAAGGCCCGTCCTGGGCCCTGCTCTGGGTGGCTGGGGGGATGGTGTGACCCACCTTCCTTTTCTAGCCCCAGCTTGGTGACCGGGTGGTTCCGTTCACCCTGGGTCGCTTACTGAGATGGCGCCTGGGAACCAGGGCAGAGAACACCCTTTCCACCAGTGGGGGACGGAGGTGACATGGACTCTGGGAGGCTCCTTTTTTGGGGTCCATCCAGAGGCCGAGCCTCTCCAAGCACGGGTCAGCCTCCATGCCGCCCAGTCTGCTGACCCTCCTCTCCACCATCCCCTCGTCCGAGCAGTGGGATCCCTCCTGAGTCAAGGCTGGGCACGAGCACGTGGGGACAGCCGGGTAGGCTGCCTGGCTCAGTGCTCCTTGCATAGAGGCGCAGACAGAGCCCGGGTGCCCAGGCCCGGCCACCAAGCCTACTTCCCTCCGCTGGCGTTCCCGAGTCCTGCCTGCCCCTTTCTGTGCGTCCCACGGGGCAGTGCTGGGTGAGGGTCCTGGCCTGTGCGGCTGTGATGAACACCAGGTGCCTCTCTGCATCGGTGGCTTCTGAGGGAGCCCTCTTGCCCCTTGCAGGTGGGGCTGGCCAGGCCTCCTGTGCCCACAGCGGCCTCTGGGCAGTGTCCCCTGGGCTTCTGTGAGCAGTTGCAGCCTGGGTGTGAATCTTGGAGGCCCCGTGGTGATGAAGCATGCCGTCCGCCTGTGAGAGGCCGAGACCACGGCGGCTCCTGGCGCTGTCCTCCCCGTGCTCCCTTCCTGGCTCCCCAGCTTCCGGCGCCTCTTCGGGGCCACTCGGGCAGCCCCTGCCCACCCCACAGGCCCTTCTCTCCTCACAAGGCTTTGATCCCAGGCGGCACAATTGGGTTTTCAAAGCATTCACGGCCCTTGTTTGTGTCCCTGGGCCCCTGGCTGGAGGCTGAGGTTTCAGCGTTCCTGGGCCTGGCCTTTGAAGCTTCCTCTTATTAATCTTTTAACATCCCCCAGCCCCACTCCCACCCCCAGCCTGTGGCCCCGAGCAGCCTGGAGCCGGGAGGGGGAATCTGGAGCTGGGAGGGGGATACCCACCCTGGCAGCTGCGCCTCTCCACGGTGGTCCCGGCACATACGCCAGGACCCGCCACGCCTGGCCCCACCTTCCTCAGGTGCAGAGGCCAGAGGAGGGAGGACTGTGATGCTGCATGGCTTGAGGACCCTCGAGGCCGCAGCCTTCAGCTGGCTTGGGCTTGGGGTGGTCCCATGGAGGGCGCTGGTCCCAGGGCGCCCTGGCCTTGCGTACAGGGGTAGGGTTGGTGCCAGACAGGAAGCTGGGCGAAGAGGGGTTCATGGGGGCCGGGCAGGCAGAGCCCGCCTGATGGTGGAGCTGTGGCCATCAGCAGGGCCGGGCCCTGGGGGTGTGGCTGCCTCCACCGCAGGGGGGTGCTCTGCCCATGGTGCCCACCCCACCCCTGAGCCTCCCGCCCTCCCTGCAGGCAAACCTCTTCCCGGCCGCTCTGGTACACTTCGGAGCCAAGGAGCCGGCAGGTGAGTGTCGGTGGTTGGGGCCGGTGTTGGAGCCCAGCCAGCCTGTCTCTGGACCTCAGAGTCAGCTGCCTGGAAGGGCGTTCAGTCTGGGGCCTCCTTTGGGTCTGAGAGGGAGCTCTGCAGCCCCAATAACCACCTCCCCGAGAGCGGGCTGGGACAGCCACCTGCTGGCCACTGCCCTCCCAGAGCCGAGTGCCGATGGGCAGATGCTGGGCAGATGCTGGGCGGATGGCGGATGGCGGATGGGCCCCCCCCCAGAGGCTCAGGGTGAGCTTGGGCCTCCCTGCAGGTGTCTACCTGGAGCCTGGCCTGCTGGAGCACGCCATCTCCCCATCTGCAGCTGACATGCTGGTGGCCAAGTAAGTGCCTGTGGGTCTGGGGGCACCTCCCATGGCGGCACTCACCAGCCTGCATCTTCGTCTCCCCCTAGGTGCATGTCCAGGGTCGCTGGGTCCCCTTCCCCATTGCCAGCCCCTGACCCTGCACCTGAGTCTGAACCAACTGCTGAGGAGGGGGCACTGGGCCCCCCTGAGCCCATCCCAGGGACGGCCCAGCCTGTGAAGAGGAGCCTGGGCAAGGTGCCCAAGTGGCTGAAGCTTCCGGGTACTGTGGCCGGGTGGAAGGCAGGGTGCTGTGGCCGGGTGGAGGGTGGGGGGCTGGGTGCTGTGGCAGGGCCATTGGGCTGAAGGGCTAGGTGCTGTGGCCGGCAGGGCCGAGTGCTTCAGCTGGGCGGGTGGGCGGGTGGCCGGGCAGCAGGAGCCCAGGGCCTGTGGTCACCCTGGTGTGTTTGCACTACAGCCAGCAAGAGGTGAGAGCCACCAGCCCAAGGTGCCCACTCTGCCACCCACAGGACCACCTCCCCTGCCAGTAGGAATAAAGACTTGTGCATCCCTCAACGCATTCCTGTCGTGCTTCCTCCAAAAAAGGGCCGCCGTCCTCTGCCCTGGCTCAGCTGGACTGCAGTGTCCAGGCCTGAGAGCCTGGTGGACCGTGGTGTGGGCCCTTGAGGAGCATTGTGGACCGTGGTGTGCATCCTGAACCCATGTGGGTCTCCTCTTCATTTTTACCTAATAGTTATTTATCCCTCCTCTAAGGAGAACAGAAGTGCTGGAAGAAAGGCTTTTTTGGGGAAATTACCTGCAACCCAGGAGCCAAACCCCGGGCCGAGAGCTGGGGGAGGAGTTAGTAGGTCCCCCCACATCTGCAGGGCAGGGCCTGACCTTGGGCCTCCCACTGCCCCTGAGCGGCTATAGTGCTGCGTTCTGGCCCTGGCCCACCCCACAGCCAGCCTCCCCAGCAAGTCTGATGACTTCCACAGGCTCCCAGGGCTTTCAAACTGACCTACTGAGGTGGGCAGAGCAGGGAAGGGGTGGGTCTCAGCAGCTCTGCCTTCCCGGGGCCAGTGAGGCTCAATCAAGGATGAAGAGGCTTGCCTCAAAGTTGTCTTTGGGCACCAGGGCAGGAGAGAGGCTGGGCCGCCTCTGATGGGTCCCACGGGGCAGCTCTTATGCTTCCCACCCTGACTCCCTACCCCTTCCCCTTCCTGCGTGGGGCACCGGGATGGTGCTCAGCTGAGAGCCCCTGGGGTGCTTCCAGTCCTGGGCTCTGACGAGAGAGAAAGTGAGGTGGGCTGGAGGGGAAGTGGCCAAGGCTCTGCCCACTTCCCAAGCGTTGGCACAAGTGGAGCTTATGCCAGAGGCCCCTGAGAGTCAGAGGGCAGCCAGACTTGGGCGGGGCATCCAGGCAGGTCCCACAGCCCTGTGTCTCCAAGGGTGGGCAGAGGGCATGGCCTGAGGGGGCTGAGCTGCACCCCACGCACTGCTTGGGGCCGGTGTCGGAGAAGAGGGGAGGCCTGTTCATTTCAGCAGGCCCTTGGGCCAGTCTCTCTCACCCTGTGCATCTTGGTCCTGCCTGTGGCCACTGCCTGCGGCCACAGGAACATTCCTGGAAGCCACTGCCCACTGGTGGTAGCTCCCGTGGCTGCCCCAACCCCTGGGGCAGGAGTAACATTTTCCAGGCGGGTGGCCACATGTACGCGGCCCGGGTTCCGCAGCGCCTGGGGGCGGGGCCGAGTCACTCGCACACATGCTGTTTGTTAGTGCGTCCTCCTGGTGCTTTGCTTTCTTACCAGGAGTGGAAGGGTGCGCACGGGGAGCGAGGCTTTGAAGCAGTTTAACTTGGGTGATTAATGGCAAGAAGGCCAAGCTGGGAGAGACAGTTTTGATTTATTGATGCTGCTTTGTGAGAACAAATTTATAGCCGGGGGAAGCATCTTCCAAGGGGAATATCGCATGGCTGGAAAGGTCACACGCCAGCTTTGATGTCAGGTGGCAGGAATGTGGGCAGGAGGCGGTGCTGCCAGCCGCTGTTTGTCAAACACACAGGCTACCTGGTGGCTGGGCCTTTCCCAGCACCTGCCTGTAGGACCCTGGGTGGTACGCACACTGTTGCCCCAGGGAGGAGAGGCAGGGACTCCCCAGGTGCTGCCCCTTCCCACACCAGTGTCCCCACTGGACACTCCGAGGGCAGCAATGCACTGCAGTCCTGCCCCTTCTGCACAGGCTGGAGACACCTGGGGATCTTGTTTGAATCAACTCAACCCCTCAGGTCCTTCCCCGCCTGTTATCAGAGGCCGCTGGAAACACAAGGCCTGTTTCTGTGGACCGGGACTCCTTTGGGGGTGGCCTCAGCCACAGCTGAGATCCCTAGAAGTCCAGGAGCTGTGGGGGAGAGAAGTGCTTAGGGCCAGCCAGCTGGGCACCTCCACTGGCGCCGCGACCCACGCTCACCCACCAGCTGCGGGAGCACCTTCTCCAGCTGGTCCACATCCACACGGAGCGTGTCTTCTGCCCGGGCCTGCCGCACCCCGCGGACTGCTGCTTCTGCGGCGAGAAACGCGAGGTGGGGGATCTTAAACCCGAGCCCAGCGAGGGCCTCAGCCTGGGCCGGTGCCCCCACCCACACCCACGGGCAGCCCCCAGAACCAGGCCACAGCACCTGACAAACAGGCTCAGGAGACCCAAGTTTAGGACCTTGTGGGAAACTGGGGAAAACACATCTTGGTTTTCCCGCTGTGAAAACACAAAAGAATCCGGGACGCGGTGCCCAGAAGGAGCGTGGACCCCGGACTCACCCACAACAAAGATCTTCAGCAACTCCGCCACGAGCTGCAGCGCGTCCCCGCTCACTGCAAGGCAGGGGAGGTCATGTGGGACCCTCACCCACCGCTCCGGCTGGGGGCTCCAGACCTACCCCCGCCCGCCCCAGGCCTTGGCCCTGCAGAGTTGCGGGAAAGGGTCTCTGAGGACAAGTACGGGGACCCACCTCCCGCCCACACCCGCCTGTACCTTTGGTCTTGTCATCCTTAAAGTGCAGGTGCAGCAGCCTGCTCACCAGCTCCTGGAAGAGAGGGGGTGTCAGCCAGGCCCCACCCTCCCCCCGCACCCCCGGGCTGGTGATCGCTCTGGGTGACGGTGGCTGTGATTTCTGGCTGCAGATGCCCTCTGTGCTTGGGCCTCTCCCAGGGCAGGGGACGAGGGCCAGCCTAGTGGTTAGGGTGGCAGAAGCTGGAGAAGCAGGATGTGTGGGCAGCTCCACTCGGGGCGCCAGGACTCTTTGCAAGGTCTGTGCAAGGAGCCTCCCTACAGCGTGAGTGGTTGTAGACACGGGAGCAGGCCCCGCTGCTGGGGCTCCAGGGAGAGTGGAGAAAGGCCTCGTTGAGTCTGGCCTGATCTTGCACTCCCATCCCCGGCAGAGGGCCATGGCTCTGCTCTCCTTGTGGAGAGGCAGGGAAGGCAGAGCCCGGAGGCTCTGGAGGCTGGAGGCTGGAGGTGGCTGCTCCCAGGTGGGCTGGACTGAGGGAGTGCCACCCGTAAGGCCTTGCTTGTGCCAACTCTGTTCTGGGTGCTGGGTCAGCTCCTGACCAGTCCTGCCCTGGTGCTCATGATCCTGCAGGAGGTGCTGGTGTCCTGGGGGTACAGAGCTAGGCTGTGCCAGCGTGGTCCGCAGGCTGGAGTGAGGGGTGGGCC